AAAAGGCTTGTTGACGGTAACATCTAGCCTTCAACTGTGAAGTCATACCTCCATCAGTAATTACTATGTATTAAATTTCTTTACCTTTTTTTCCTCAGCCTGACAGTTGACCATGTAAAAAATCTAAAACTATCCCTGAGTGAAGTTATTCAAAGTAATTGAGAGAGCTCCATATGAGAGACTTTGCAAAAATTTGAATATAAGGTGGTTTCCCTTTTTTCTGAGGGATATATTTGTGGGTAAAGGGGTCCTCTTGTCCTGAGTATAGGCATGTGCGTGATCTGTTAGTAATGACAAATGTCCAGGGTTAGTGACTTTTGGAGAAATCAGTGGAATTGGAAGTGATAGTGGGGGAAGGGGGGGCAGTGGCTTAAACCTTTTATTTGGTAGATATCTCTATAGCGTTAAAGTTTTTGTATTTCATATTTAAATAAAATATTTAATATCTGTTAAATAAATGACGTATTTCCCCAAGGGGGAGCTTTGTACATATTTTCCATTTTTTACTGAGGTATTTTCCTCTGTGGTGATTTTCTTTAGAAATGGAGCATCTACGGTTGTCACAGCTATATTCGGAGGTATTCTCCAGAATGAGGTTAACTGCCTCATATGTGGGACAGAATCTAGAAAGTTTGATCCATTCCTAGGTAAGACATACTTGGCATGTAGAGATAAAATAATGTATTAAAATGACTGTAAAGAGATAAATGTACAAATATGCCAGTTTTTGAAATTCTTTTTTGAGTGTGGTATGTACCTTTAACAGCTGTTTTCCTATTTCCTTTTAAGACCTTTCATTAGATATTCCAAGTCAGTTCAGAAATAAGCGCTCTAAGAATCAAGAAAATGGACCAGTTTGTTCATTACGAGGTAAAGATACTTTAATGTTGTAGAATTGTTTTTCCACCTGAATAGACTCATAAACTCCATCTACATGTGCTATGATGTTGATTGCTTTAATGAACTTGTGTTATAACAAAAGTCAAACCTGAATGTCTTTTTCTATCAAACAAAAGAATGTGTGCCAGAGATACTAAATCAGACATAAGGTATTTCTCACCTTTTTCTTTAATACTGATTTAAAATTGAGAGTCTGTAACAGTTTCTGACCTAATGAAATAGAATTCATTTTGTGGATATACCACTAGTATCCATAGAAGGAAAGAACACTCAGCTAAATTTTTTTAAGTTAGGGTGTTATTCTTTTCTGTGACTAAGTTTTAGAAAGCTATTGATGCTATATCTGTTGGTTAAGCCTGAGGCCTTGATTTCAAAAGCAGGACTATGAGATTTGGAACAGATTTTTTCTTTGATGAGTGTTAACTACTTTAGTCAAGGCCAAAGACTGATTTCTGACCAGTTACTAAAGTGACTAGTTGTTCTCACTGATCATAAAAAGAAACAAAGATAGGAGAAAGAGGGCCTAGTGTGTGTTCTTTGATTAACTCTACACTAAAGGCAAATAACAATTTATACCCTGAATTGTCTGTTCACTGAAAGTAATTCTTTTTTCTTTCAGCTGTGCTAGGGAGCGTTGTCATAAGGATTTTTATATATTTTATATGTTTAGTATTTTATATATTATATATATACACACACATATACACACACACACAGTTTTCCTACAGAAAATTCTAATTGGTCTATAACTACAATGTCCACTGTGGTGAAGTCATACCACATAGGTGGTTGGTAAAAATGTAAATTAAAATTAAAAATTCATTTGCTTAGGTGATCAATAACCACATGTGACTAGTGGCTACTGTATTAGCACAGATGGAGAATATTTCCATTATTGCGTGAAGTTCTACTGGGCAGTACTGCTCTAGAATCAAATTATCCAAGTAGAAAAGAGTAAAACCACCACCACCATCACCTAGTAAAAATAACTGTTGGGGGAGGAGCAGGCTTGTCTGTGTCAGGTACACTGGGCAGCATCTAGTTTTGTTAAAAAAGGAGCAGCATAGGTGCTTGTAGCGCTTTTCCTCAGGTAGTATGTTGAAGTCTCTCGGGGTGGCTGTCCAAGACACTGGACTCCTGTAAGACAGGGAAGAAACTGGGTATGAAAACATTTTGTAGATGCTTTCAGTTCCTCACCTTTGCAACAGTATTGATGGTCTCTTTTGAACAGAAGAAATTTAAGCAAATCCCATCTGCTCCTCTTCCCTGTAAAAGACATGGTTACAGGTTTCAAAAATACCACAGTGTACTTGGTATCAAATGTCAGATTATTTTCTCTTTATATTGATGGCATGTGAGCACAAGCTAACTTAATCATAAGACAGACATTTGACCATTTAGCGAGGAAAGCAGTGAGAAATTATTAGTTATTGTCAAAGTCTGGTTATCTAAACTGGACATGGCTTCATTTTATAACTCCTTCAGTGAGAACAGTAATAATGCTGACATTAGTTAAGAAAAACCCACAAATGTTCTTTAGTACAAATATGTGAATATATATTTGAACAGTATTTCCTAATGTTTAACAAAACCCAGTAAGTCCAGATGATCTTGGAAACCCAGAGACCCTGGTTTGTTCAGGCTTCTTACCTTCCTTCTGCACTGTGTGCCCCCCTCCTGAATTGGTTGTATACGTGGTTATTATAGTCCCCTCTGGCATTTCACTTACTACCTATTCCAGAATGCTGTAATACTCAAAGACCTTACTCTCTGGAGACTGTCCAGGAGGGGAGAGTGTATGACATAGCTTAAGTGGTTGATTGGTACTATAAACAAGTGGCAAATGGCATCTGCCTTGCTTCCCAAGTGGTATTTTTCTTGGCATAGACTCCCTGAAATCTGATTTGATTGGGATTTAGCTTCAGGGGGCCCAGACCATCCTGAGGGGTTTAGGGTTTGGCTGGAAACAGGTTTCCTGTATTCTCAGCTGGTTTTCCTTTGAATTTTCAGACTTGATTTTTATTTTATTAAAGAGCTTACTGTTGACTTAAAAAACTAGACGGTAGAGTTGGGTATCTCCTCATTCTTTCTGTTTACCACTGTTATGAATTAAAGGTACTACTTTTCTTGGGACATCCAGAATGTGATGAATTTTAGTCGATATGCATTTCTTTATTAAACAGATGGAGATGTGATTACCTTTCACACACTTTTACATGCTTTATGCAAGGATTCCTTGTGTGCTTTCTGGAATGTTAATTGATAAGATTAGTTTTCATAGAAAGGAAAAATATGGTGAGAAAGATCCCTGGAATTTGAAATTATGTAACTGAAAGCATGAATATTATGAGAAGCTAAAATAACCCCAGTTCTAAAATCTCACAAAGATGGCATCAAAAAGGAAAGATATTATTATAGACCAAAGAATCCTACATAAAATATTAGCTAATAGAATTTAGTACTGTAGTACAATAACATAAAGAGATCAAGTAGGATTTTTCCAGCAGTGCAGGACTGATATATTGGGAAGGAAGCATTTCTTCTGGCCATCAAAGTCCTAGGTGGACTAAAAACCAAATTGACATGAGACAGATTAGCAGGAGAAAACCAAATTTAATATCTTATGTATGGGGAATGCACACAGCCATGAAATTCTGAAGACAAGCAACATGAGGTAAGGAGAGGGGTAGGAGGGTAAGGAATATTAGCAGGAAGGTGAGAGGAAATGTTTGGAAAATAAAGGTGGTCCTGTTACATAGGGAAGTTTCTTCAGTAAAGATGTATCTCTTGTTCATGGTACAGGCTCGCCTTTCCAATGTAAATTTAGGCAGTTGAGGGAAAGGTTAAGAGCTTTTCCTGAATTTTAACTTAAACAACGAATGTTCATGCCAAAGTGGCCTGTCTTTGGGGCTGCCTGCCCTGGGCCCCTGCAGTTTCCTCCTCTGAAACTTCCCTCAAGTTTCACACATTAAAATTGAGCCGGTTGACTGTTCTGTCTGGTTGAACCAGTCCTGGGCAGTAGATCAGTTCAGTTAAACTCATTTTGGGGGGCATGATGCAAGTGTGTTCTCAGAGTTAGGCCTTGAACTATAGTTCAAGCAATCAGGTATTAAATAAGAGGCATTTCTGTGGAAACACAAAGAGCAGTTAGTGATTAGATCAAATTTTAAGCTGGTGTCTGAGTTTTGAGGGTAGCCAGTTGAGAAGATTTCTAGATGTCAAGCTTAAAGCGTCTTCAGTGCAGTGGCAGTCTGACAGATTTTCTCTGGTTTGTAGTTTGAATGTCTCTGGTGATCTTTTTGAATGGCCCACAGAGCAAAAGGCATGAAGAGTGCCTGTATATGCTGATGTGTTTATTTCTCTGAGGTTTACATAAATTTATTCATATTTAATTTGGAGGGCTTCAGGGGAAAGGGCAGTTTTAGTTCTCAGATGAACTCAATGTAGAAGGTTGGCACAAAAATAAAAAATGTTTGTGGAGAGTTATAGCTAGGCATCGTAGGAAACTAGAAGAAATCAGGATCTAGTCTAGATTATAATGAACAGTATTAGAATCTAATAGGGATGTTACTGAAACCTATTTATTCTATAATCACCTTTCGTAGAGAGCCAAATTAATAACTCATTTGTTGGTAAAATCTAGTTTCAAAAAAACGTGGCCTGATCACTTATATAAGTGCAGCAGGAATAGCAATAAAACCTGCTTTGCCTGGAGCTTTTTCTAGGTTGAAGCTTTAACAGCCTCTTGAGACCAGATCCCCAACAAAACATCATCACAACTTCTGCAATACCTATAGATTTGGGTGAATTCCTCTCTTCCCGAGGTCCCCAAAATATCCTGAGGTTCCTGTACTTGTCAGGAATTAACAACATTTACTCACCTGGTAAGGCTGCTGGGAACTCTGTAAGCAAGGCACTAAATTGATATCTCTGAGGGGCTTTATTGGCTCCTTAAAGCTGTCTGGTCATATCTGAATTTATGCATGTATCAAATGTGACATTCCAGTCAAAGCCTTGGTTATATAACCAGTGTTTCCAATTGTGTCCTGTTACAAGGAGAACAGAATTGAACTTGTGCAAATAATTATAAGAATACTTACTGAGAGTTTCTGAATTCTGGAGGGTTCAGGTAGAAAAAAGATGCAAGTTTCCATTTGTTCCAGTGGTAGTATTCTATCAAATTGCTCTAAGTCATTTAAGAGAAAAAGTTTGTTTTTTTTTTAATCTAGAAAAACAAAGCATTTTAGAAAGTCAGCAATGTGGTAAATAAAAAGTCATAAAATTTCAAATTACCCTTTTCAGTTCTTTCATTTCCATGTCATTAATTCTTGTTTTGGGTTGAATCCAGTTTTTCTCCTAGTTCAGAAATTCTTACCAGTTTCATGGTAAGAATTCAGTTTTATGATCTTAAGCTTATCAGAAACCTATGCTTAGAGTTCTTTATGTGAGTCTCACTGAAGATAAGGCACATCTACAGTACCATCAGAGTAAAACAGTGACTGTATCAGAGTTCATTACACTGTAGAGGACAAGGAAATTTGGTTATTTCTGTGACACACAACACATAATAACATACTAGGACATCAGAGTGCTAGGGTAGTTTTATGTAAGATATTTGACAACATTTCCCACATAATTTAACATACCTAATTAGTTTAATTTGTCACAAAAACTTTGAAATATTCTAGGACCTCTCTCGAACACCTTACATTGTGGTCAAAAGACTTCATATTAGGATCACAGATCGTTATGAAACAATAATTATCTATTTACCCAAAGTGACAGTAAAAGATTTCAAAGGCAAATATAGAACCTCACATAGTTGTGAGCAAAATTTAGCTTTTTTAACACTAACTAGACTCCCGTTTTCTTAAATAATCAAACACTTGATAAATAAGCATTCTGTGATCATTTCCTCTTTTCTAGGCAGATTACCTTTAAAGATTAAAAACAAAAACATTTGTTTATAGTTTATGTTTAAGAAAACCTTGGTCTTTTAGCAAAGAGAAAAACTAAAACTTAAGTTTATCCTAATCTTAGCCAGTACCGATCATATATAAAATTCCTTTCCCATAAACCTTCTGAAACCTCTTTTATATTCACTTCTTAAGTTTTCCCCTCTTTAAAAAACCAGTCTCCCTTTACGACAAAATTTTTTCCCCTAAACAAAAAAATGTATTCCTATCCCTCATAATTTTTTCTACCAAAACCACATATCTTTCTTTCCTTCCATATGGAATGGTTTCTCTTATTGTTTCTAGTAGTCTTAATTACATTTATTAGTTTCTAGTGAAAACTAAGTGGTAAGCAACTATGAAGTTATACAGTATTTTTTAGAATGGCGAATTTGTGAATACATTTCATAATTTCTGAAAACATAGTTTTTCAGTAAAAAACTAGGTTTGCTAACAGACTTCTGTTTTAGTTTCTCTATAAGAAGACAAAAATAAATTAACCTATGTTTAGTACTTATGGTTTTATTTTACTTTATTTGGAAATGACCTAGATATTCAATAAATTTCACTTAACCGATCATTTAACTTAGTTTCAGGGATTTGGGAAACTAAAAGTTTACTTACGAATCTTTTTATCTTATTTACATCTGTTTGCTTGTTCTTAACAATTCCCAGAAAACTTCATGAAGCATTAGACAAAAATCAATATTTTTTTTTTCCTGATAAATTTTCAGAGGTGAACTTACTTGACTTTCAGTAAACACAGGTAGGATGACAGTCTTACATTTCATGCTAACTCTAAAGGCATGTTTTTTAGTTAAACCAACTTTAAATTAGCTTTTGTACTGAAAATTTCCCAGATCATGCGAATTTGGAAAACATTTGGGTTAGTTTCTGTCTTTCTGAGTTTTGGAATTCCCAGTACTTCCAAGTGCTTGGCTTCAAACCAACTAAAAAGAACTCTTTTACAAATTAATTTTGGTGATACCTTCTGGAGATAGAGAAAATATCTTACATTTATAACGTATATGAACATACACAGTCAAGAGACAAAATATTATAGCTTTTGTTTTTACTAATAATTTGTTGAGAGGACATTTAAGGCCCAATTGCCCTTTATTTACAAACTTCCCTAAAGTTTGTATTTCACAGGAATGGCTTTTAGGTCCTAGAGAAGATGCAGACAGAAAACTTAGATCACAAAGAATCCCAAGTTTTCTCCAAAATGGAAATCTGGAGCATATCTGCCTATTACCAGAGGTGCTGGAATCTGGGCACAAGACATTTTAGCAGTATGCATTTTAAAAAGGTCTTTTATTTTTTCTTCAGTCTCAGGTGACTGTGAACTGTGTTTAAAGACATGATGAAATTTATAATTTTAGGGGTGCCTGGGTAGTTGGCTAAGTGTCCAACTCTTGATTTTGGCTCAGGTCATGATATCACAGTTTGTGAGATAGAGCCCCGCACTAGGCTCTGTGCTGACAGCGAGGAGCCTGCTTGGGTTTCTTTCTCCCCCCTCCTGCTCATGTTCTCTCAAAGTAAATAAATAAACATTAAAAAAAATAATATAAAGAAAAAAATTTGTTTAGAGTTTCAGGGCAGTTGCGATTTAAAACTTACTATTATTGTTTTAAGTATAGGACAATTTTGTTCCAGTATCCTGATCTTTTAGAATAAATAGCTACCAACATTTTGAGGGGAATAGGCGAGCTTTAGGGATTGGTAAAAATAGCTGGGGTTTGACTTGATACTAGAGTTGCATTTCTGGTTTTGTAGAGGTTTGTAAGCCAACTGTTTCTAATTCCCAAAGGACTGGATTACAGTCAGAATATCAAGGGATTGGCTTGCCTTTTTAAATTAACCCCCCTCTCCCTTTTTTTATTTTTTTAACTAAAATGGGAATCGACAGATGTAGTAAAGTCCATATCAAGCAATTTAACAAAAGCCTTCTTGCAGCATACATAATTCAGTCTTGGCTTCTGTTAGCCCCTGAATGCTGGTCTTGCGCAGATCATTTGTGTGAGGGCCTGGGAGAAAGTTTGGTCTTCTTTTCTTTGTGAAGGGAGTCTAGGATACATCTGCAAAGTGTATTGCAAAGGAATGTCTCAAGCTAACAGAGCTTGCTTACAGAGCCCTGGAAGGTAGGAGCAAAGCAAGCCTTATTGCCAGTCTCAAGTGCTTTTGTCAAATTTATTACCTGGCTTTCAGCCTCTACATTAGCAACATGTATTCTTTGAACCCAGAGATTTAGCTGCCTGTAATTCTTGGTAGGAAAAGGAGGTTAAAACAGGTAGATGAGGCCAGATTTTAAGGGGATTTTAAGTCTTAGGCCTGATTTCTGTTCAGCTTGTCAAGGGAGTCCCTAAGCCTCACTGTTCTCTAATAAGACTATTGAGATCTCTCTATACAGAGTGTCTTTCCTTTAAATATAACCAATTTAAAGACCATCTATGAGTAGGATCTATTAACAGTGACTCCAATTAACCTTTTAATGGCTGAACCAAAGAAGCAAGAAGCATCCAAAAAGGGCATAGATGATACAGCCCCTATGATCTAACAGTCTGCTCCCAAAATTAGTCTAAGAAAGCAAAGACATTCATTTCACAGGTGGTAAGGATAGTAAAAACAGGTTCTCTGGTCTCCCAGGAAAACACAAGATTCCTCCAGTCACAGCCTGCTAATCTGTGACACTGGGCAGGTGCTGATGGACTGGGACTTGCCAGCATGAACAGGCAATGGTGACTGAGATGACAATCACTTTTTTTTTTTTTTTTTTTTGAGAGAGAGAGAGAGAATCCCAGGAGGGGCAGAGACAGAGAGAGAGAGAGAGAAGTGGGGCTCACCTGAAGCAGAGCAGGAGCTTACCCAAAGCACAACTCAAAGTCTTGAACTGTGAGATCATAACCTGAGCCAAAGTCAGATGCTTAATGACTGAGCCACCCAGGTGCCCAAGATGACAAAGATTATAAGGGGGTGGGACCTCCCATGACAAACACCCCTGAGAGCTGGCTTGGCCAGAGGGAGAGTCCAATCCCCAGTCTATTCCACTGGCCATGAGGCTACCCTTTTAGGATATAGAATGAGATGAAAGAAAAAATATCTTCTATACATGTTAACAGCTTTGGCTAAACCTTTGGTTTCTTGGAGCCACATGAATACCTAGAAGGGATGTGCTGTAGGTTTGGGGACTGTGTGTTGTATTGCAATGTACCTTGTTGCAAGGAAGTTTGCTTGAGGCTAGTGGGTAAACCTAGTGTCAATCTAACCTGCTCTGTGATCAACTTACCTATCACAAGAGTCTTCTTGAGACAGCACTCTAATTAATAGCTTTTAAGTGCTTGATCTGTGCCCACCAGTTTTGGGGCTTTGGCTTCCAAGATGTCCCTTAGCAACAGTCTTTACCTTATGTGCATATTCAAAGTTCATATGACAAATGACTTAAAACACAAACAGAAAATCCCAACAACTTTTTTTTGGAGGAAATGGATCAGTAACCAAAAGAGGACTCTACCAAATTGAACCAGAGTTGCTTAGCCTAAGGAACTAGGTTCCACCAATATTTTCTACTGCTAATTTAACTTAGCAGGAGTGAGGAGGACTCTCACCACTCTTGGTGTACTGGACTCTGCATAGAGATTTTGGGAGGTTGACAGGGTAAGAAATCTTACCTTCTGCCGGGTATATGTCAGATGTCCCAAGGATCTCCGTTGCAGTGGTGTCTAGTGAGTCAAAGTATCCTACTGACTATGTCAACTGTTGAAGAAGAATTTCCTCTGCCCTTCAAAGTCCTCTCTGGGCAAAGAACCAAACTGACTCAAGATAGATTAACTGGGGAAAATCAAATTTAGGTATGTACAGGGAATCCACACAGACTTGAAATCCTGAGGACCAACATGAGGCTTCCACGAGCTAAGGAGAGGGGTGGGGGTCTGAGGATCAAAGGGGAGAAGAGATGTTTGTAAAACAAAGATTGTCCTGTTATTTAGGCACATAAGTTTCTTAAAGAGGAATCTCTTCCTGGTGAGCTGGCAGTTGAGGGGGAGGTAAAGAGCTTTTCCTGAGCCTGCTGAACCTGCTGGGTTTTGTTTGCTTTAACTCAAAATAATGTTCATGTTAAAGTGGCCCATCTTTTAAAAAAAAAAAAAAAAAAAATTGGGGCACCTGGGTGGCTCAGTCATTTGTGTCAGACTCTTGATTTTGGCTCAGGTCATTATCCCAGGGTCATGGGAATCAAGCCCCATGTTGGACTCTGCACTGAGTGTGGAGCCTGCTTAAGATTCTCTCCCTCCCTCCCTCTCTTCCCCTCTGCCCTTCCCCTCCACTTGCGCTCTCAAAAAAAAAAAAAATTCAAAGTGGCCTATCTTGGGGCAGCCTGCTCTGGCCAGCCTGCCTTATGCCCCTGCAGATGAAATATTGGAAAATATAATTTAATGGGAGAAGATAAAAACGCCCAAATAGGTTTTGATACAATTCCAAATACATCGCTGATTAAAGAAGGAAAAAAACCTTTTACTGACTCTTAGTAAGCTAGGAATAAAAATGTTAATTTGATGGAGATTATCAAAAGCTGCCAGTGATCTTCATAGTTAACAGTGAAGCACTAAGGATTTTCCATTACAGTGTGGAAGCAGCCAGGAGTCCTGCCACTGAGGGACAAGGCATTAGACAAGAAAAATAAAAATAAGGACGAGGAAAGACCAAATTGTCAACATTTGCAGATGAACTGGTTAGACGCTGCAAACATTTCAAGAAAATTAGTTGGAAATTATGAGAGAATGTTTAATAGCTATCCCTGAAGAGCAGCCCTGGGTAGGAGACTTGTTTTTCTAAAACTGTCCATTTTTTAAAAAACAGGTATTATTTTGGTAAGTTCTAAACATGGAGCTAAAAAGTTTAATAAGGCAGCCAAATAATAAATAGGCAAGGGGTCCCTGGGTGTTTCAGTTGGATTTCGGCTCAAATCATGTTTTCCGATTCAGATAATGGAGATTGAGCTCCGCCCATGTCAGGCACAGAGACTATTTGGGATTCTCTCTCTCCCATTCCCTCACTCAAGAATGAGTTTGTGCTCTCTCAAAATAAATATTTAAAAAGTAGGCAAAAAAAACAATTGCTTTACTATACATAGCAGAAGATCCTATTCACAGTAGCAGTAAAATCTTTATTGAAAAATATTTAAGACCTAGGTGAAGAACATTATAAAACTTTATACAAGAAAAGATTAAAAGTCTTAATAAACAGAGCCATGTCCTATTCTTGGATGGGAAGACCCAATATGAAATGGTAGAGATGTCAGTTATCCCCCAAATTATTCCCTAAATTTATTCTAATTTGCCCAAAAGTTCTCCTGTAAGCAGAAAAATTCTCAAGAGGTGCTTAAAAAGTTTTTTAAGTGAAGATGAGAAAACAGGTTAGAGATGAGGTAGAAAATGTCCTAGATGTACTAATTTAGCAGGTACTAGTGCAGAAATGCTTATATATGGGAATTTATTATATAGCAAAGAAAAAATTTCAAATCAGTGCAGAAAAGATATTAGTCAATAGATAGTGTGAGTGAAAATGAAAATTAAAACATTAATTTCATCCCTAATTCTTGTGTTTTCTCAAATTAATACAAGGTTTCAAGATTTAGTATGAGGGGCACCTGGGTGGCTCTGTTGGTTAAGTGTCCAACACATGATTTCAGTTCAGGTCATGATTTCATGGTGGAGTTTGAATCCATTCGGCTCTGTACTGACACCGCGAAGCATGCTTGGGCTTTCTTTCTCTCCTTCTCTCTGCCCCTCCCCTGGTCTCTAATAAAAAAACTTAAAAAATTTAATATGAAAAATAAAACCACAGGACTCTATCGGCAAGTTTTTGGATCTTGTTGTAAGGGAGAGCTTTCACCAAGGCCAGAACCCATAAAGGAAAATATTCATAAATTTAACTGCATAATGGTGAAAGACACCATAAACAAAGTGGAAAAGGAGATGACCTGTGAGAAAGAGTACTTGAGTAAAGTATACGAATAGGAAGAGAATTGCAAACAGTTGATTTAACATATGAAAATGCATTGTCTTACATATTCAAGAAAGTGTACATAAAGCAGAATTGTTCAAAATGACAAAGATAGGTAATATTCATTGTTAGTAAAGGTTTTGGAGAGTGGACACTCTCACATATTGGGGTCAATGTAAATTGCTGGTTTGGGAGGACAGTGATCATTTTCAGTGAGCATTTCCTTAAAAAGTAATTTTACTTGTCAATGTGGACAATGAAACCTGTAAAAAGATGTCCTTGAAGCATTCTTTGTTATTGCAGAGATCAGAAACAGTTTTATGTGCCCACTAGTTTAATAAATTGTAAATTTAATAAATAATGCTATGTAGTAATTAAGAAAGATATAAAGTTGATCAGTAGCCAGGCCACAGAAAGATAGCTACAAAGTACTGTGGAATACTATCTATGGAAGTATGTTTATAGAATGATTCCATTTGTATAAAATAAAAAACATTCAGGTGTGCATTAAAATTCTTGAGCAGCATATCCATCTGTTCACAGTGATTTCTTAGGGACAGGCATTCCAGAAGAAAGTGAACTAGGACTTCCTTTTTCATGCTCTTTTATGTTGTTTGGATTTTTTTAACCTATTCTATCACCTTCATAATTCTATATTTGCTTTGGGGGAGTAAAAAAAAAATGTGGATTAATTTAAACATACTTCCCAATTACTGTTTTGCTAAATTAAATTTATATAGTGGATAAAGGGGATCTAATAACGTCAACAAATCAGTTTTATTCCCTGCTCTCCATAGGGATGTATTTAACAGTTTAAATAATGTGGAAGACTGACACTTGTGAAATATATGCCCTGAAACCTTTGAGAATCTTAGGAGTTTCAAAAACCACCATGGCATATATTTTTTTTTGCTCATGAAATGCAGTAATGTACAAATGAAAAAAGTTTAAGCAGCTTCCTCAGATGGGAGGTGTGAAGGTAAGTAGAGAACAAAGCTTTGCTGAGATGTGAATGCTGGGTAGCTAGCAGACTGTTCACTGGCCATGTGATTCACTTCCACATACAAGCTTTGAGAAGTGAAATTTATATTCATGCTGCTGCAAAATAGTAAACTGTAGTCATTTCAGGGTCATTCAGACTTTCCAGATAATTAAAACGGCAGGCATCAAATCTGTGAATATCAGGGGTAGGCTGTGCCTAAGCAGTCTTTTTCTTTGAGAAATAATGACTGTATGCATGTATGTTTCAATAAAAGTTGAAGGACATTAAGAAAAGTGTCATATTCATTGTAGAATTTAGCAAAGATTCAAAAGAATACAAAGGGGAAAATAAGCGACCCTTATAATTCTGTCCAGCAGTACCATGGTTAAGAGAATTTTTTATTTAAAAACTGATATAAAAGCTGTTTTATAAAAAGGCAGCAGTTGGAAATTTAGAATTATTGTGGATTGTTACTGTTTTAACCCATAGAAGCCATTACAAATAGGCATTAGTTTTCAGGAGAGCTAAAAACAAGCTTTTAAAACCCATATGGAGAGGACTATGTGGGTAGTTCTTTACTAATCCAACGAGGGTTTATAATGTTCCTTCTTTATTAAAACTGGAGGCTGACCACAGACACGACAGTCTTCTGACTTTCTGATGCAGCTGTGACAGTAAAGCTGCCTCAATGTCTGAGGGGTATAGCAGCAGGTGTGGGCTGTTGAGCTTGTAGCAAGAAAGGGGTGTGAGAACACAAGATGGCTTTGAGAGACAGTTGGGGCTACCATTTTAAAAACCGAATGTTTGAAAAACCAGATTCAGCTTGTATGGCTTACTAATGAATTGTTTAATGAGCCTTTTCTGTCTTCTGTTGTATTTTGGTTTATCATAAACCAGTTATGCATAAATCAGTTATGGGACCACTTACTTAGGTCACCCTTTAAGTTTAAGCCTCTCAAAAGCAATGGAGCAAAACCTGGTCTTCTGTGCCCCTGTAGCTGTGGCACAGAGGCTAATTGCAAGCAGCTAGGCTGAATGTGGACTTCACCCAACAACAAGCCCAACCAAGGTGGCCTGAGGCATATAAAGGGCATGGGACCAAACTGTGCAGCATACCCACAGCAGGCAAAGTAGGTCACTGCAGCTCCCTGTGCTGAAGGCATATGCGGCTTACCCACAATAGTAGGTCACATGTAACCCACACAAAGGGCACCCCTGGAGGACCTGGTTTTGGTGACCTGAGGGGGGTGTTCTCTCCTACACAAGGCCACCACTTTAAAGACCAGGAGATGTAGCTGACCTACCTAATACATAGAAACAAAAACACAGAGTTATAAAACATGAGTAGAGAGAGGAATATGTCCCAAATGAAAGAGCAAGACAAAATCACAGCTAAATGAAATGGTAATAGGCAATATGCCTAATTAAGAATTGAAAGTAGTGGCATAAATATACTCACTGGACTTAAGAGTGGATGAACTCAGAACTTAAAAATATAAAAACCAGTCAGAGGTAAAGAATTCAATAACTGAAATAAAAAATACATTAGAGGCCATCAACAGCAGATTAGAGGATTCAAAAGAATATAGTCATCTGGGAGAGAGGGTAATCAAAAGCAACCAATCTAAATGGGGAAGAAAAAAAAATGAGAATAGGTTAAGGGACCTCAGTGACATCATCAAGCATAGTGACATTCACTTTATAGAGATCTCAGAGGGAGCAAAGAGAGAAGGAAACAGAAAACTTACTCTAGGGCAGAAGGAAATGGCAAGATGTATTCAAAGTACTGAAAGGAAAAAACCCTGCAA